ATTTCAGATTATTTCACTTACTAGTTTTTAAATTATTTAAAAAAATTAAAAACATTTTTTTAAGTTTAACACCCTATATCTTTTTAACGAAGCGTCCTAGATAAAGACTTTATACGAAAGAGTCCCCTTGGGGTTCAGGTATCCTAACCAGCAATGGTTTGTCACTAACTTAAACTAGTTTTTTATCTTCACACAACTTTAATGGTAATAGTAAATAATGACATGACAAAGTATTTTATTTTACGTCAAAACTGACAAAACCGTAGCATCGCCATCTTAATAAAATGTAATCATTCAAACAAATATATTGATTGAACAATTTAAGAATATCACGTACCTACCTACATTTTTTTAAATTTAATTAATTTAGTCATATCATTTTCAGTTTTTTAATTGTTTATTACAAGCTATTTACTAGACTGGGGCATGTAGCACATAGAGTATAATCTTTTCGATCTCAATTGAAGAACCAAGAGGTTGACAATATGTACCAGGTTCGGTCACAGCCGCAGCAACTCGGCATTGAAATATTTGAAAAACTTGTTCCCATATTTATTTAGTCATTTAGCCCAGTTGAAGAATGAGCACGCGGGCAAACGGGGCACAAACACACCCGCACTGGGCAACCTGGCCATAAATTCAGTTGTCGACAAATGGCCTAGTAGTGCAGTGCATAATGCGGAATTTGGTGTGATTCAGGTAATTTTAATTTATTATAGGCACCTTCTATTAATCATTCATATTACAATTGCGAAAGGGAGAAATAAGAGATATTTTGTGTACTAATTTTATTACAACATGGCATTTTGGAGACCTTTTGAAATGGAACAACACGAAATTTACCAACAATATGATAAAATTGTTTGAGAACATAAATAATTAAAATATGTTGTTGGTCAAATTTCTGCACATTGCATAAAAATTATTATAATTTTTTACCTTTAGCAGAAAACTTTTTTAGGGACACCTATGAAACACATTAAATTTTATTGCTAGGCGTTTTTATACATGTTATATACAGCTATTTTGCCTGTAAAAATATTTTTTGTGTAGATTTTTGATATCCTAGAATATGTTTGACTTCATTTGACAAGATTTTTTAAAATAAAATTTTTGAATTTGTTTGAATTAACTTACTATCTTCACAAAAGAGCAAAAATACCAGGCCTAATAATATATGTTTTTTAAATGATTCATCATTTCTAGAAAATTGCTTCTAGTATTTTCTAATTCAACTTTGCGACGCTGCCTAATGGTCGATATTTCATCATGCGCGTCTAAACAATTAGCTTTTTCAGGATTAATTCTGGTAAATCCTTTTTGTCTGTGCACATTACGGTTTATGTTCATCGGTAATTATTTTTAAGAAATGTCATCACCGCGATAAACCTTGTTACGCGAGAGTCCTACGTCCAACTTTCTAGTTTCTAAAACAAGGAAATGAACCAGCCATTGTCTTTAAATTCTTATGCTATAAAATCAGTTAATGCATTGGCATGCACTAAATATAAAATTGACCAAAAGTTGTAAAGGTACAGTCGGTTTCACATAAAATGATTCTTGTGCAGCTTAACAGTAACTTCAGAACACTTTGTACATTGAAAGTGTAGAAAGTACTGTTAGTTGTTTGGCAAGTAAAGACAAATATTGTGTTCACTGACTTCACGATATGTATACCATAGTGAAGTACATGTATGGCTTGCTGCCAAATGCGGAAAACGATCTGCGAATGCAAAATGACAATTTCCTTCGATGCATATCTGTAAATGCATTATTCTGTGCGTTTTTCTTATCAGCAGTTTCGCCCAGTTTCCCACGTTTGTGGTTTACAGTAGTTCATCAGTTTGCATGGTAATTCATGACTGAACAAATTCATGATCAGCTACTATAGCTACTACAAATTTCGATAATTACTGTACAAGATCGTGTCACTCGACACAGTCTTGTGGTGTGATTTTGTTTTCATGTGATTAGCTGTTCTCTTATGCCAGGGCCTCATAGACCGCTATGTCAGGTGTGTTGGTCGCGTTTGTTATACACATTAAGGTCACTATTCGAATATAAAAAACCCATAACGCAATTGCTTAATCTCTCGCCAGATGGCGATAAAGACATTTCGCTAAACGCGCCAATTTTATGGTTTTTGCTATAGTTGTAAACGCGACTTTGAACTTCAAGAATTCGACACTGGAATTCTAAATGCTTATTTTAATGATGACTTTTAAATATGAAATTATATATTTTCAATATCAGATAATTTCAATTGAAAAAGGTTACATTTATAAAAAAAATCCGTTTTTTTTGTAAACTTAATACTCGCAACTTAAACGTAGATAGACAGATACAGTGTGATTCACAATTGTATATCACAGAGACAAAGTACTTTTATGTATAAATGTATGAGAAAGTATACAGGGTGTTTCAGAAAAACCTCCTGTAAATACAGGGGGTCATAGTACGACAAAAAATAAGACTTTTTTGTCTTATGAACTATATGTCTATCTCCTCTTGTTTTCGAGATACATAGCGACAAAATAAAATTTTTTAAATAGAATTTTTACGAAAATTTCCAAACGGTGCGAAATATTTTTATGAAATTTGGTATTCCGTGGTTTTTAAGGGTGCCAAATGCGCTGGTATAATTATTTTTTGCATATTTCATAGAGGGCGCTAGTTATGCTACATTCCTATTACATTTTAAGTTTTAACTTTTTTAAAGTTAGGTTTTTTACCATTCGGTCTCCAATTTCTAATGTAAATTTTATTTTCTAAAAATTATATACTCTTGTTAGAACTTCCTAATGTAGACGTCTTCGAGATAAAAAGCTTTTAATTGAACTCTTATAATATTACGATGTATAAAATAAGTGACTTTTCTCAAAGTAGGCTTATGTCAAAAGTTATTGATGGATGTCTCATAAACAATCCATACATCCTTAGTAATATTTTAAACTAATAAACTTTATATCAAAATTTTAATGACTATAATTAGTCATTACTAACTACAGTCACTAACAATCACTAAAATTTTGATATAAGATTAATTAGAGTTTAAAATACCTATTGCTAAGAATGTATGCGTTGTTTATGAGACATCCATCGATAAGTTTTAAAAAATAAATAAATTTAAAAAATGGTAAAAAACCTAACCTTAAAAAAATTTGAACTTAAAATGTAATAGGAATGTAACAAAACTAGCGCCATCTATAAAATATCCAAAAAATAATTAGACCACCGTATTTGGCATCCTTAAAAACCCCGGAATGCCAAATTTCATAAAAATATTCCGCACCGTTCGGAAATTTTCGTAAAAATTCTATTTAAAAAATTTTATTTTGTCGCTCTGTATCTCGAAAACAAGGGGAGATAGACATATAGTTCATAAGACAAAAAATTCTTATTTTCTTGTCATACTATCACCCCCTGTATTTACGGGAGGTCTTTGTGAAACACCTTATATATCAATATTCTACTTATATGTCTTTATAAACTTCTCTGCGTGTTTTTTAAACTTAAAATTGTTGCTATTTTTCTGATTTTATGTACAGGATATTAAATTTTTATTAAAATTAAGAAGAAATGAAAATGAATATCGTTTTGCAAGGAAATAATTACCTCTGTTAAAGAATGAATATGTAATTTTATTTTGGATGATTTATAAGTAAATTTAATGAATTAAAATCGTACTTATTTACTTTGAAATAAAATCGTGATATAGGTATACGCGCATAAATCATTGAAGCTGGCATTTTATAGACAAGAAATCGTAGATACTTTTAGTAAGACAATGATAGAACAAGAAAAAACTGCGATTTATAGTAGTTCAAGAAATGTAACGATATACAAAAAAATTAAGACTATACTTTTTTCCATATTCTGAATGTATTGTCAGCTTGTAAACTGTCATACCCTGGAGAAATTTTATATAACTGGTATAGTGAAGAGATATTGTTTCTAACTTGCTTAAATTCTGTGAAACCCTCGTCAAAAGACGAATTCACTGAAAATTACACATAAAAACGCCCCCGTTAATATCGTTTTTTAAATTTTGAAAGTAAAAAATTAACCACAGTAGACAGACCTTCCTGCATTCAACTAAACTATGCTTAAACCTACAATATGGAAACAGTATTTCATGCTTTTTATAACAAAAAAAAACCGGTTTTTTGAAATATATCTAAATAAAGTATCAACAGGGTGATCCATTAATAATGGGACAGAGCTTAATGACAGGTTGCTGACTTCAAAGCGTTAAAGTTGAACATTATTTTCGATTTTTTGATATATCTTGAATATCTTTAAACCGATTGTTTTCAAATTTTGCATGCCTAGATTTTCAGAGGTGGCAAATACGTAAATGATAACTATTTTACAATCAGTTCTAGGGCGCTACTTGTAGTGTTCTGTCAGAGTAAAAATATATCAAACTTTTTTGTCGTAGCTTACACTGCTCTCTCAGAAAATGACAAATGACAAAATATCAGTAGCAGTATTGTTTAAAAAAATGACATTATCTCATTTATCATCGTATATATACAGGGTTCTTCACCGGAAGTAGCTGTCAACTTCATTAATTTAAATGGGACACTCTAGATATTATTACATTATCGACAAGATAAATTAAAAATAAGTAAAGAACTTCCACTATCAAAATCACCTGAAGAAAATTATACTAAATATTCCATTTGTTACGGTACATTTTCAAAACTTAAAACCGGTAAAACTTTTTGAATTCATATAGAACACCCTGTATTTTTTGCGCCATATAGAAAACCACAATTCCAATATTTGCCTTTCAAGGAAAAAAATATTTTTTTACGTAAGCTTTAATTCCCGTATGTCGGAAATGTAACATTTTAGGACATGTGTTCATATTGATTTTAAATTTTTCAAAGATTTCTTTGCTTTTAAATTTTTTTACACTTTTTAAACACATTTTACAAATTTTTAAAATGTTATGATCAATGTTTTAACAACTAACAAATGACTTTATCTTGTAGGTGATTTGGAACAGTTGAATTCTTTTCCCACCATCGCGGTTTGGAGCGCCGTAAAGTTCGTCATACACGACAACGCAAAGACGACTTACGCCTTTCTTCCTCTCATCACCGACCCAGACAATTTAGACAAGAAAATGCTGTTTCGCACCTTAGAGGACAGCGAGAAGAAGTTCATCACGACCGAGGCGCATTCCCCATTGTTCGCTGTTGTCATGAGGAAAATCGGTGTCCACAAGCAACTGGAGTGCCATGGGTGAGAGCTGGTTGAATAACCAATAGATGTATTGTTATTATAAGTAGTCAGTGATAGATAATTTCATTCATATAAAGTATAAAGATGTAATATGTGCATGATCTCTAATTCCATAACCATGTAAGATAGAAAAATAACGTATATCTTCGAAGGTATAAACATAAAAATGTGTTGCATTATACCACTAGTATACTTTCTTATTTGAATAGAATACCATGTACATACAGGGTGTCCCGAAATTCATGCAACAAAATTCGGTCATAGATTCTTGAGACAAATTTAGAGGCCCCGTATTTTTTCTTTTTGCCAACTGGCCCCCTCTTTCGGAGTTACAGCCCCCTGAAATCTGCCCGTAAGAAGTTTTTTTATATCTCAAAACCATGTTGTACCAGAATCACTAAATTTGCTACACAGGGGTTTTATGACATGTGGAATCTCACAGTGCTACGCTTTTTGGCGAGAAACCCCATTAAGAAACTTTTTCGTGGGCCCCCTTGTGTTTGAAACTAGAAAAATTTGGTCGCAAATTTGATTTTTTTTTAATTATTAGTTAGCTAGAAAGCCGTTGAATTTAGAAACTTTTTTGTCTCTTGATATTTGTTTCGTGAAACGCAATGTTTTTGAGGGAAATGGCGAATCACGATATGCATTCGATCACATTTTGACATTTTTCTCGAAAACATTGTCTTATACGAAAAATGTATAAAGAGACACAAAGTTTCTAAATTTAGTGGCTTTCTAGTGGACTGATAATTTTTAAGAAATTTAAATATGCGACCAAATATATTTGGCTCCAAAGACAAGGGGGCCCACGAAAAATTAATTAAGGGGGTTCCCCTCCAAAAAACAGATTCCACATGCCATAAAACCCCTGTGTACCAAATTTAGTGATTCTCGTACAACAGGGTTGTGAGATATAAAAAAAAGACAGATTTCAGGGGGCTGTAACTCCGAAAGAGGGGG